CAATACATGGCAACAAAGAAATATGGTTTCTTAAAAGTGTTACAGGTCTAACACGAGTACCATCCTGCACACGTCAGCCGAGGTTGATGATGGTGGAAAGAAGCCGCATGCAATACTCAAACTCAAAATACATCCGATGTTTATCAAGCTACATTGAATGCATGTTGAATATAGTTAGCAAGGTATGCGACATTGTGTATGTTTGGTCGGGATTCGAACTCCCAACCTCTTGGTCCAGAGGCACGGTCACCATAAGGTATAGGAGAGACATGCTGTGTTTTAATTTAGGTCACTGACCGACACCAGGGATTGTACGATATTTACCGGGGGTGGGCTGGTACGTTGACGGGAGATGCACAAATAAAATCGGGGCCACCAACCAACATATTACAGAAAAAACCGTCGCCAGAGTCTTTTTTAAGACTCAACTTGTTGTAGTTTGTACCATAATAAGTGAAGAAGTCAAGCATATAACACAAAACACACTGTGGGCTAATCATCAAGCAGATGCTAGGATGGAAAATCGTAAACTTTCAAGGTACCTGCACCGTTTTTTTCTGAATTCGAACGTTTAGGAGTGGCCCATTCATAAAAGCTTTCATATAGGACAAGGACACATCTTCGTGTATTCGCTACTGTAGTGTCGCATGTAGCGAGATTTTGTTTCTTTTCTTTCCACCTGTGCCAAACCAAAAAATCCACCCCTAATCCTTCCAAGGAAGCGGTGCAAGACGCGTCTAATTATAGACAGATAAACATCGTCAAGGGGAGTACACAACAAGTCAGGTATGCCGCGAAGTAAGGAGCCGCCGGCGCGAATAGCAGTCCCTTTTCCTGTCGGCTATCTATCTTAGAGCCGTCGCCACATTCCTGAAAGTTCACAACAAAGTTTTGTTCAAAAGTTCAACAATTGCTCCCCAGTTCTGACCTTTTTAAGAGAATCTATCGTGAAAACATTCAGAATGAAGTCAACACTTTTTAGACAGATGCAGCAGAGTTAAACTACTACAATTTTAGTCGTAGGCATGTTTAGATGACGTCACGAGGCAAAAATTCCTGCACAGCGCTCCAGTAGTGAGATGTATCGCTGAGTTTGATTGGCTAAAAAGCGCGGGATTTTTAGTACGTGAAGTCACCAGTAGGCGTGACCCTTCTTCCCCCCTGTTCTGTGATGTATAACGGCAATTTCTCAAGGTCACCTGTCCACGAAAGAACGCCCCTAGCGTGTAGTAAACAGAGCGCGGTACGACAGAATTTGTCTAAGCGTTTATCACACGATCTCTCCGCTTCCTGTACGGTTTCCTTGTGCGATTTCCCCTAGAAACGGCGGAAACCGACCTGTCTGCGC